AATACATGTGTCCCACATCACCTCAATACATGTGTCCCACCCCACCTCAATACATGTGTCCCACATCACCTCAATACATGTGTCCCACACCACCTCAATACATGTGTCCCACATCACCATAATACATGTGTCCCACATCACCTCAATACATTGGTCCAACATCACCTCAATACATGTGTCCCACATCACCTCAATGTATGTGTCCCACACCACAGCAAGATATATGCACAATACAGCAATATTGGCCTGCAACACCTCAATACATATGTCCCTCAATACAGCAACATGTGTCCTACAATACAGCAGTATTTGTGTCCCTCAATACAGTAATATATGTGTGTTCCACAATACAGCAATATGTGTCTCACAATACAGCAGTATTTGTGTCCCTCGATACAGCAATATGTGTCTCACAATACAGCAATATATGAATCCCACACCACAGTAATATAAGCGTCCCCACTATTACAATGTATAGTTCCTCACTACACCAATAAAAAAAAGTGTGTGTCAAGGTCTCCATAGTTGAAGGATTTTTCACGTTTTGTTCAGTTTTGAGATATCGGTAATAAAGCGGCTCCGTTACCCTTGCCAGATCCCCCTGAGAGACAGTGTATGTAAAAGGGGGAATATTGATCAAATCACAAGGAGGAACCATCAGACTGCATCTATTACGCTAGCCATAATGAAACTTCAATAATAGGAATTTTGTGTGGGGATGAGGTGTCATTCAATGAAGGCCTTATCCGTGTAAAACTAGGCCGCCTTTGTACGATACACTTAATACCCCGCACGTGATTAATTGCTTCATGCCTCTATAACGTCACAGTTAATTTCATGAGATGCTGTTTCACAGTTATTCACTTTTCTGTGAAAGCTCCTACGAGGAAGTGCAAGATTTCATTAAATGTAGTACTACTGAAATTAACTTGAAAAATTGAGTTTTCCATGTTTTTTTCATACTTTTTTTTATTGTGATTTCGTGACGTGTAGTGAGAATATGCTGACCAGTTTCTATTGGGTTTTGAAGAACAGATCAAAAAACCATCTACAGACAGTTAAACTGTCCTGGTGCCGAGCAGATGTACATTTGCAGACAATTCTCTGTAAACTTTGGAGACAAAACTTATATGTCTTCCTTAAGTAGCGCTATAGTGTGGTTCTGGAGTCCTGTGTCAGTGCTTAAATCCCTGTCTGGTAGGGACATGTATTGTATCACAAAAACAATACGTCCACTGGTAGAGATATTTGTTGTAAATGTTACTATCAAAGTTTTTCACTTAGTAGTAGAGACATATATCGCATCATTCTTTCACCTACTGAAAGAAAGGGATATTTTTTATATTCAAAGTCGTTCACCCACTGGTAGAGATATTTGTTGTACTATCAAAGTCTTTCACCCACTGGTAGAGACATTTGTTGTACTCTCAAAGTCTTTCACCCACTGGTAGAGACATATATTGTACTACCAAAGTCTTTCACCCACTGGTAGTAGAGACATGTATTGTACTATCAAAGTCTTTCACCCACTGGTAGTAGATACATGTATTGTACTACCAAAGTCTTTCACCCACTAGTAGTGAAACATGTATTGTACTACCAAAGTCTTTCACCCACTAGTAGTAGAGACATGTATTGTACTATCAAAGTCTTTCACCCACTGGTAGTAGATACATGTATTGTACTACCAAAGTCTTTCACCCACTTGTAGTAGAGACATGTATTGTACTACCAAAGTCTTTCACCCGCTAGTAGTGAAACATGTATTGTACTATCAAAGTCTTTCACCCACTGGTAGTAGATACATGTATTGTACTACCAAAGTCTTTCACCCACTTGTAGTAGAGACATGTATTGTACTACCAAAGTCTTTCACCTACTAGTAGTAGAGACATGTATTGTACTACCAAAGTCATTCACCCACTGGTAGAGACATATATTGCATTGTACTATCAAAGTATTTCACCAACTGGTAGTAGAGACATGTATTGCACTATCAAAGTCATTCACCCACTGGTAGAGACATCTATTGTATTGTACTACCAAAGTCTTTCACCCACTAGTAGTGAAACATGTATTGTACTATCAAAGTCTTTCACCCACTGGTAGTAGAGACATGTATTGTACTACCAAAGTCTTTCTCCCACTAGTAGTAGAGACATGTATTGTACTACCAAAGTCTTTCACCCACTAGTAGTGAAACATGTATTGTACTATCAAAGTCTTTCACCCACTGGTAGTAGAGACATGTATTGTACTACCAAAGTCATTCACCCACTGGTAGAGACATCTATTGTATTGTACTACCAAAATCTTTCACCCACTAGTAGTAGAGAAATGTATTGTACTACCAAAATCTTTCACCCACTAGTAGTGAAACATGTATTGTACTACCAAAGTCTTTCACCCACTAGTAGTGAAACATGTATTGTACTATCAAAGTCTTTCACCCACTAGTAGTAGAGACATGTATTGTACTACCAGTCAATCAGTCAATCACCCACTGGTTAAGACATATATTGTACTATCAAAGTTGTTCACCCACTGGTAGAGACATATATTGTACCATCAATGTCGTTCACCCACTGGTAGAGACATATATTGTATTGTACTATCAAAGTCTTTCACCCACTGGTAGTAGAGACATGTATTGTACTACCAAAGTCATTCACCCACTGGTTAAGACATATATTGTACTATCAATGTCGTTCACCCACTGGTAGAGACATCTATTGTACTATCAAAGTTGTTCACCCACTGGTAGAGACATATATTGTACTATCAAAGTTGTTCACCCACTAGTAGACATCTTTCTATTGTATTACCAAAGCCTTTTACTCACAGCAAAAACACTACTGTTCCATCATTTTATTGTGCCATTTAAAAAACATATGATGTTTTGTTGCCATGCTTGGTCTTGCAGTTGATAGTCTAAATGGGAAAGAGTGATTAGCAAGAGCTGGAAACACCTCTACAGCTGGCTGTAACCTATCGAGAAGCTTTTAGTCTTTGTCACCAAACCTTTGTTCTCACATACACACTGCCACACTGCTAGAGTATCACAGAGACCTTTACGCAGAATCTCCGACTCCACCAGTCACCACTCACTGCTTTTAAGGAATTAATGTATTTGGTTTCTTATTTTCTGTGGATCAGGGTACCGACAGGAAAAGGATAAATTACACACGAGATCTTCCTATTTTAAACGTGACCAACATGCATCTCTTGTATTGGATTAAATGGATATATAGCATATAGCAGGATGATATCTAACACTGAGCTTGTTCCAGTTTGAAATACTTCTTAAAAGCATCCAAACAGACCGTAAAGTAAGCAGCAGCACATAGGTTCTTTGTGTCTTAGGACTAGTGTACTTTCAAAATAAAGGTTCTCAGTTTTTTCCTTGTTTAGTCAATATTTACTCCCATAGGTCTGATTAAGCAAACACAACCTTATCTGTGATAAGAGTTCTGAGTACACTTTTAGCATACACAACCTTATCTATGATCAGAGATCTGAGTACACTTACAGCAAACACAACCTTATCTGTGATAAGAGTTCTGAGTACACTTTTAGTATACACAACCTTATCTATAATCAGAGATCTGAGTACACTATTACGTACACAATCATATCTAAGATCAGAGATCTGAGTACACTTACAGCAAACACAACCTTATCTGTGATAAGAGTCCTGAGTACACTTTTAGCATACATAACCTTATCTATGATCAGAGATCTAAGTACACTATAACATACACAATCTTACCTATGATCAGAGATCTGAGTACACTATAACATACACAATCTTATCTATGATCAGAGATCTAAGTACACTATAACATACACAACCGTATCTATGAACAAAGATCTGAGTACACTATAACATACACAACCGTATCTATGATCAGAGATCTAAGTACACTATAACATACCCAATCTTATCTATGATCAGAGATCTGAGTACACTATTACATACACAATCATATCTAAGATCAGAGATCTGAGTACACTATAACATACACAATCGTATCTATGATCAGAGATCGGAGTACACTATAACATACACAACTGTATCTATGATCAGAGATCTAAGTACACTATAACATACACAACCTTATCTATGATCAGAGATCTGAGTACACTTTAACATACACAATCTTATCTAAGATCCGAGATCTGAGTACACTTATAGTATACACTCAATGTATTGTGACCACAGAAAAGTAAACGCGTAGTCTAGAGATAAACTGTATTTCCTACCTTGGAATGGATCTGACAGCTGGGTGAAGAAGTAGGTCCTGGTACAACTCAATGTGGAATGTGGGGAAATTCCTCTACATATCTGTAAATACAGCACAAATATTCTCACAATAAACTGTCGGAAACTTGTTCTTAAACAAAAGGAAATAACTCCATTAAATTGGGAGGTCACACCAATCTATATATTAAACTCAACCCCCCATTGTAAGTGTTATTTGTATCTAAGTATTATTAAAATCGGTGCAGTTGTTTAGGAGGAGGAGTGCGAACAAAGTTTTTAAACAAAGGGGCATAACCCCAATAAATGGAGAGTTGGTTCCAATCTATCTGTTTTATTCACATCCTCTCAATGGAAGGTTATTTGTTCCAAGAGGTATTCAAATTGGTGCAGCATATTTGAAGAAGTAGAGCGAACAAGAACTTTTATCCAAAGGCTTACTAAGATACCTCTGCATCCCACAATTAGCATAAAGGGAATATCTGTCCTTCATTAAAAAGCGTTGAAATGATAAAATATAACCTCGATGCACGAGGGGGTAACCACCATATCAGTTGTTTAGGAGGCGGACAAAAGTTGTTCAACAAAGGGCCATAAATCAGTAAAAAAAGGGTCAGAATAAAAAATACTTCTTCGATGCACAACATCAGGGGATATTTACCATATCTGTAAACTTTTGTTGAAATTTCGCCATTAATTTAGGAGAAGTTGTCCGTACAAGTATTTTTCATTAAAGGGCCATATGTCCATAAGAAAGGGTCGAAATGAAAAAAAGTAATACCTGGATGGACAACATTAGAGGATAGTTATGATATGTAAAGTTTCGTTGAAACCGAAGCACTAGTTAAGTAGTTGCCAGGATAAGAGTTTGCAGACAGACAGAAAGACAGACAGACAGACAGGATTATTCCAGTATACTCCCCCTACCCCAACTTAGCTTGTTCTTGAGTTGACTATTTACCCTAAACACAGCAAAGTCTGAGCTTGTCCTAGAGGTGGGTAGGTACTTAACTTAACCTAGCAGGAACTCAACCTCTCCCGTAATGTACACTAACCATAAAATTAAACTTAGAATGGCCTTTAACTCTCCAACAGAAGGTATACTAACAGTAAACTTTGCTGGGCCTTTACCTCTCCTACAGAAGGTATACTAACAGTAAACTTTGCTGGGCCTTTACCTCTCCTACAGAAGGTATACTAACAGTAAACTTTGCTGGGCCTTTACCTCTCCTACAGAAGGTATACTAACAGTAAACTTTGCTGGGCCTTTACCTCTCCTACAGAAGGTATACTAACAGTAAACTTTGCTGGGCCTTTACCTCTCCTACAGAAGGTATACTAACAGTAAACTTTGCTGGGCCTTTACCTCTCCTACAGAAGGTATACTAACAGTAAACTTTGCTGGGCCTTTACCTCTCCTACAGAAGGTATACTAACAGTAAACTTTGCTGGGCCTTTACCTCTCCTACAGAAGGTATACTAACAGTAAACTTTGCTGGGCCTTTACCTCTCCTACAGAAGGTATACTAACAGTAAACTTTGCTGGGCCTTTACCTCTCCTACAGAAGGTATACTAACAGTAAACTTTGCTGGGCCTTTACCTCTCCTACAGAAGGTATACTAACAGTAAACTTTGCTGGGCCTTTACCTCTCCTACAGAAGGTATACTAACAGTAAACTTTGCTGGGCCTTTACCTCTCCTACAGAAGGTATACTAACAGTAAACTTTGCTGGGCCTTTACCTCTCCTACAGAAGGTATACTAACAGTAAACTTTGCTGGGCCTTTAACTCTCCAACAGAAGGTATACTAACAGTAAACTTTGCTGGGCCTTTACCTCTCCTACAGAAGGTATACTAACAGTAAACTTTGCTGGGCCTTTACCTCTCCTACAGAAGGTATACTAACAGTAAACTTTGCTGGGCCTTTACCTCTCCTACAGAAGGTATACTAACAGTAAACTTTGCTGGGCCTTTACCTCTCCTACAGAAGGTATACTAACAGTAAACTTTGCTGGGCCTTTACCTCTCCTACAGAAGGTATACTAACAGTAAACTTTGCTGGGCCTTTACCTCTCCTACAGAAGGTATACTAACAGTAAACTTTGCTGGGCCTTTACCTCTCCTACAGAAGGTATACTAACAGTAAACTTTGCTGGGCCTTTACCTCTCCTACAGAAGGTATACTAACAGTAAACTTTGCTGGGCCTTTACCTCTCCTACAGAAGGTATACTAACAGTAAACTTTGCTGGGCCTTTAACTCTCCAACAGAAGGTATACTAACAGTAAACTTTGCTGGGCCTTTACCTCTCCTACAGAAGGTATACTAACAGTAAACTTTGCTGGGCCTTTACCTCTCCTACAGAAGGTATACTAACAGTAAACTTTGCTGGGCCTTTACCTCTCCTACAGAAGGTATACTAACAGTAAACTTTGCTGGGCCTTTACCTCTCCTACAGAAGGTATACTAACAGTAAACTTTGCTGGGCCTTTACCTCTCCTACAGAAGGTATACTAACAGTAAACTTTGCTGGGCCTTTACCTCTCCTACAGAAGGTATACTAACAGTAAACTTTGCTGGGCCTTTACCTCTCCTACAGAAGGTATACTAACAGTAAACTTTGCTGGGCCTTTACCTCTCCTACAGAAGGTATACTAACAGTAAACTTTGCTGGGCCTTTACCTCTCCTACAGAAGGTATACTAACAGTAAACTTTGCTGGGCCTTTACCTCTCCTACAGAAGGTATACTAACAGTAAACTTTGCTGGGCCTTTACCTCTCCTACAGAAGGTATACTAACAGTAAACTTTGCTGGGCCTTTACCTCTCCTACAGAAGGTATACTAACAGTAAACTTTGCTGGGCCTTTACCTCTCCTACAGAAGGTATACTAACAGTAAACTTTGCTGGGCCTTTACCTCTCCTACAGAAGGTATACTAACAGTAAACTTTGCTGGGCCTTTACCTCTCCTACAGAAGGTATACTAACAGTAAACTTTGCTGGGCCTTTACCTCTCCTACAGAAGGTATACTAACAGTAAACTTTGCTGGGCCTTTACCTCTCCTACAGAAGGTATACTAACAGTAAACTTTGCTGGGCCTTTACCTCTCCTACAGAAGGTATACTAACAGTAAACTTTGCTGGGCCTTTACCTCTCCAACAGAAGGTATACTAACAGTAAACTTTGCTGGGCCTTTACCTCTCCAACAGAAGGTATACTAACAGTAAACTTTGCTGGGCCTTTACCTCTCCAACAGAAGGTATACTAACAGTAAACTTTGCTGGGCCTTTACCTCTCCAACAGAAGGTATACTAACAGTAAACTTTGCTGGGCCTTTACCTCTCCAACAGAAGGTATACTAACAGTAAACTTTGCTGGGCCTTTAACTCTCCAACAGAAGGTATACTAACAGTAAACTTTGCTGGGCCTTTACCTCTCCAACAGAAGGTATACTAACAGTAAACTTTGCTGGGCCTTTACCTCTCCAACAGAAGGTATACTAACAGTAAACTTTGCTGGGCCTTTACCTCTCCAACAGAAGGTATACTAACAGTAAACTTTGCTGGGCCTTTACCTCTCCAACAGAAGGTATACTAACAGTAAACTTTGCTGGGCCTTTACCTCTCCAACAGAAGGTATACTAACAGTAAACTTTGCTGGGCCTTTACCTCTCCAACAGAAGGTATACTAACAGTAAACTTTGCTGGGCCTTTACCTCTCCAACAGAAGGTATACTAACAGTAAACTTTGCTGGGCCTTTACCTCTCCAACAGAAGGTATACTAACAGTAAACTTTGCTGGGCCTTTACCTCTCCAACAGAAGGTATACTAACAGTAAACTTTGCTGGGCCTTTAACTCTCCAACAGAAGGTATACTAACAGTAAACTTTGCTGGGCCTTTACCTCTCCAACAGAAGGTATACTAACAGTAAACTTTGCTGGGCCTTTACCTCTCCAACAGAAGGTATACTAACAGTAAACTTTGCTGGGCCTTTACCTCTCCAACAGAAGGTATACTAACAGTAAACTTTGCTGGGCCTTTACCTCTCCAACAGAAGGTATACTAACAGTAAACTTTGCTGGGCCTTTACCTCTCCAACAGAAGGTATACTAACAGTAAACTTTGCTGGGCCTTTAACACTCCTACAGAAGGTATACTAACAGTAAACTTTGCTGGCCCTTTACCTCTCCAACAGAGGATATACTTACCATAAACTTTGCTGGGTCTTTAATTACCTCTCCTACAGAAGGTATACTAACAGTAAACTTTGCTGGGCCTTTACCTCTCCTACAGAAGGTATACTAACAGTAAACATTGCTGGGCCTTTACCTCTCCAACAGAGGATATACTTACCATAAACTTTGCTGTGTCTTTACCTCTCCTACAGAAGGTTTACTAACAGTAAACTTTGCTGGCCCTTTACCTTTCCTACAGAAGGTATACTAATAGTAAACTTTGCTGGCCCTTTACCTCTCCAACAGAGGATATACTTACCATAAACTTTGCTGGGTCTTTAATTACCTCTCCTACAGAAGGTATACTAACAGTAAACTTTGCTGGGCCTTTACCTCTCCTACAGAAGGTATACTTACCATAAACTTTGCTGGCCCTTTACCTCTCCTACAGAAGGTATACTAACAGTAAACTTTGCTGGGCCTTTACCTCTCCTACAGAAGGTATACTAACAGTAATTTTTGCTGGGCCTTTACCTCTCCAACAGAAGGTATACTAACAGTAAACTTTGCTGGGTCTTTACCACTCCAACAGACAATATACTTACCATAAACTTTGCGGGGTCTTTACCAGTCCCAGTGGTGTGGATATGATTCTTCTCAGTCTTGCCTCCGCTCTCCAAACTGTCCAATATAGACTTCTTGGTGTTCTTCCCAAACAGGACAAATGGAACCTCCTTATGACTGTTACAGATATAAATACTTCAGTGGTGACTTTAGGGAATCTCCCTATGATTGTTACAGATATAAATACATTATTGTTGACTTAATTAACCTCCTTATGACTGTTACAGATATAAATACATCAGTGGTGACTTTAGGGAATCTCCCTATGATTGTTACAGATATAAATACATTATTGGGGACTTGATGAACCTCCTTATGACTGTTACAGATATAAATACATCAGTTATAAATACATCAGTGGTGCCTTTAAGGAATCTCCTTATGACCGTTACATATATAAATACATTATTGTTGCCTTGATGAACCTCCTTTTGACTGTTACAGATATAAGTACATCAGTGGTGACTTGAGGAACCTCCTCATGACTGTTACAGGTATAAATACATTATTGGTGACTTAAGGAACCTCCTCATGACTGTTACAGATATAAGTACATCAGTGGTGACTTGAGGAACCTCCTCATGGCTGTTACAGATATAAATTCATTATTGGTGACTTAAGGAACCTCCTCATGACTGTTACAGGTATAAATACATTATTGGTGCCTTAATTAACCTCCTTATATCTGTTACAGATATAAATCCATCAGTGGTGACTTAAGGAACCTCCTTAAGACTGTAATCTCCCTATGATTGTTACAGATATAAATACATCAGTCGTGACTTTAAGGAATCTCCTTATGAATGTTACAGATATAAATACTTCAGTGGTGACTTTATGGAATCTCCCTATGATTGTTAGAGATATAAATACATTATTGTTGACTTAATTGACCTCCTTATGACTGTTGCAGATATAAATACATTATTGGTGACTTAAGGAACCTCCTCATGACTGTTACAGATATAAATACATTATTGGTGACTTAATTAACCTCCTTATAACTGTTACAGATATAAATACATCAGTGGTGACTTTGAGGAATCTCCTTACGACTGTTACAGATATAAATACATTATTGGTGACTTAAGGACCCTCCTTACGACTGTTACAGATATAAATACATTATTGGTGACTTAAGGAACCTCATACGACTGTTACAGATATAAATACATCAGTGGTGCCTTTGAGGAATCTCCTTACGACTGTTACAGATATAAATACATTATTGGTGACTTAAGGACCCTCCTTACGACTGTTACAGATATAAATACATCAGTGGTGACTTATGGAACCTCCTTATGACTGTTACAGATATAAATACATCAGTGGTAACTTAAGGAACCTCCTTTTGAATGTTACAGATATAAATACATCAGTGGTGACTTGAGGAACCTCCTTACGACTGTTACAGATATAAATACATCAGTGGTGACTAAAGGAACCTCCTTACGACTGTTACAGATATAAAAACATCAGTGGTGACTTAAGGAACCTCCTTAAGACTGTTACAGATATAAATACATCAGTGGTGACTTGAGGAACCTCCTTATGACTGTTACAGATATAAATACATCAATGGTGACTTGATGAACCTCCTTACGACTGTTACAGATATAAATACATCAGTGGTGACTTGAGGAACCTCCTTAAGACCGTTACAGATATAAATACATCAGTGGTGACTTAAGGAACCTCCTTACGACTGTTACAAATATAAATACATCAGTGGTGACTTTGAGGAATCTCCTTATGACTGTTACAGATATAAATACATCAGTGGTGACTTAAGGAACCTACTTAAGACTGTTACAGATATAAATACATCAGTGGTGACTTGAGGAACCTCCTTATGACTGTTACAGATATAAATACTTCAGTGGTGACTTAAGGAACCTCCTTAAGACTGTTACAGATATAAATACATCAGTGGTGACTTTAAGGAATCTCCTTATGACTGTTACAGATATAAATACATCAGTGGTGACTTAAGGAATCTCCTTATGACTGTTACAGATATAAATACATCAGTGGTGACTTAAGGAACCTCCTTAAGACTGTTACAGATATAAATACATCAGTGGTGACTTAAGGAACCTCAGATGTAAATGGAGGGGGCTGGGAATTGGGGTTCATGACTCCCTCTTGGGAGATTCTGGAGTTAGCTGTTACGATCAAATTCAGGGGTTAGCAGGTATGAGCAGTACTTTGGAGAAGAAATTAGAAAAGGGGCTTAACTCCCATAAAAATATCTTAAATCAAAAATATATCACAACTGCACAAATAACTTAGTTACTGATTGTGAGTACTAAGTTTTATATAATTGATCAAGATAGAATCAGTACTTCAGGAAAAAACATTATAAAGAGATCTCAGAAAAGGGACATTATAATTACTGCTAACAAAACTGTCAAATTGACAAATAATTTGCCAACACAGGATTGTCTAAGATACTGATCATGTGTACCAAATTCCATATCAAGGGGTCCAGATGGCCTGTATGCCTCACTAGGATCTTTATGCCAAGCAATTGTATATATTGCTATGGGATGGATATCTCAACAGTTTCAAAGTTATGGCCAAGGAATTAAGTCCCTAGGGGTAGGGCCAGAACCCAGGGTCAATTCTAATGTCATGAATGTTTACCTCTTTATACCCATCAATTGCATATATGGTTATGAGGTTGGGATCTCAACCATTTCAACCCCTCCATTTGTACAACTTTGAATCCCCACCACCTAGGATGCTTCCAAAGAACTATGATCGATATCCGTCTCTAAAGAAGAAGTTGCTTTAAACAATATGGCCAGGAAGTTGTTTGAGTGAATTGTTGACAGACAGACAAATGATTGACATATCAGTACAACATTAGTTTAATGTGCCAGGTAAGCTTAAAATTTAGATTAGCAATTTTCAAACATATTCTATTTTGGAGTTTCTTTTATTATTTACTGACAATTGATCTAGTTGTTGATCTGATTATCAAAGTAACTGTTATGAGAAAATCTTACCTTCTGTCAATGGAGCCGGCACCAACTAAACCATGTAAGAAGTAGCTCTTCAGTGGCTGAAACAAAGACATTTCTTAATCAAAGACTATAAGATATGAAACTAACATTACCAAGTCTATACTCAAACAAAGGATATTGACTACCCTAATAAACTGTGAAAACATGGAACCTATAATGTTTCCAATTCTACACCTAAAAAGTAGACAGATCTCCGTATGTTATAGTTATTCTTTAATGCTAAATGTATTGGTCAAAGCTATTTAAGTATGACTAGGTTTAATTTTTGTAACCAGATAATAAAACTACTGAATTTCATTTTGGTGACAGTGACCCATCCACTTTGCACCTTAATATAGCACTTTAACCCTTTTCATCCCTACTTAATGTGACCCCTTTATCTCCTCTTGTTGTGACCCCTGATATCTGCCCTTGTTGTGACACTTTTTTTATCTGCCCATGTTGTGACACTTTTTATCTCCCCTTGTTGTGACTCATTTTATCTCCACTTGTTGTGACACTTAATATGTTCCCTTGTTGTGACCCCTTATATGTTCCCTTGTTGTGACCCCTTTTATCTCCAATTGTTGTGACCCCTTTTATCTCCCCGTGTGGTGACCCCTTATATGTTCCCTTGTTGTGACCCCTTATATCTCCACTTGTTGTGACACTTTATATGTTCCCTTGTTGTGACCCCTTATATGTTCCCTTGTTGTGACCCCTTTTATCTCCACTTGTTATGACACTTTATCTCCCCGTGTTGTGACCCCTTATATCTCCACTTGTTGTGACACTTTATATGTTCCATTGTTGTGAACCCTTTTATCTTCCCTTGTTGTGACCCCTTTTATCTCCAATTGTTGTGACCCCTTTTATCTCCCCGTGTTGTGACCCCTTATATGTTCCCTTGTTGTGACCCCTTATATGTTCCCTTGTTGTGAACCCTTTTATCTCCCCTTGTTGTGACCCCTTATATGTTCCATTGTTGTGAACCCTTTTATGTTCCCTTGTTGTGACCCCTTTTATCTCCAATTGTTGTGACCCCTTTTACCTCCCCGTGTTGTGACACTTTATCTCCCCGTGTTGTGACACCTAATATGTTCCCTTGTTGTGACCCCTTTTATCTCCCCGTGTTGTGACCCCTTATATGTTCCATTGTTGTGAACCCTTTTATCTTCCCTTGTTGTGAACCCTTTTATCTCCCCTTGTTGTGACCCCATTTATCTCCCCGTGTTGTGACACTTTATCTCCCCTTGTGGTGACCCCTTATATGTTCATTTGTTGTGACCCCTTATATCTCCACTTGTTGTGACCCCTTTTATCTCCAATTGTTGTGAACCCTTTTATCTCCCCGTGTTGTGACACTTTATCTCCCCGTGTTGTGACACCTTATATGTTCCCTTGTTGTGACCCCTTATATCTCCCCTTGTTGTGACCCCTTTTATCTCTCCTGGTTGTAACACCTTTTCCCCTTGTTGTGACCCCTTTTAATATCTCCAGTGTGATGTCCTTCTTCTTTAATTGTGTGACCCCTTTTATCTTGCTGTGTTTTATTTGTTTTATTTCCCAACTGTTTTGACCCTTTTTATTATCCTGTGTTTTGATTCTTTTACCTACCCCTTTGATATGACCCCTTTTATTGAGTTCACTACATAACCTCATTAGAAATCTCTTAAAGATCATCGTGGTATCATCTACAAAAAGACGAGATTGCTTTTGTCATTTTATATAACTGTAGAGTTTGGAAATTTTATTTGATAGTTTGCCTTAAAAAACAGGTCAAAGTAAATCAATATGCATTTTCAGAGTGAAAATTGTGATTTGTATTTATGGGTAATTTCCAACACTGGAAATCAAGAACATCAATGCTACATTTTATTACTTTTATATCCCATGGCACTTATAAATAAAACAGACCTTCATAGGAACACATTTAATCATTAAAACAAAATCAATACTTAGTATGATAAACCCTAGTTACATTTCATCTCAAATATCACAGGAATATTAGAAAACTAAATCATAAACTTGTCTTTGTCGTTTTGAAATAAACTACAAAAATATTTCCCCTTGATGAAGTAAAATTGCTCCTGACTGGAGACAATCGTGACGTTTCTATCTCACTGGATGACAGCACTCCTAATGCCCCCCTAATTGAAGGTACCTGACAGATTTATTTGATGATAGATCCAAAGTATGGCCTTGGGGCATAAATGGAAATGTTTCTAATTATTTGTATCAAATAACGTGTTGATTACAGGGAAACAGATACACAATCTTAACACATGGGAATAGAAACTTGTGAAGACAAAAATATAGCAATACCAAATGTAATTGTGGAATATATCAATAAAAGGGATTTATACCCGCAGGTCATTAAAGGTAGATGATCAATAATGATTATTATCATTCGTTCCTTTCTACCTCCAACTACCACAAACGACAAGATATTCACAGAACAACATCAATTTGAAAAACTGAAATTGCAACATTATGTTGACAACCAAATAGTACATCATCGCTTGGACAACCTATTATAACAGTACAACATCACTTTGACAACTTAGGAGTAACACATCACTTTGACAAACATAACAGTAACACATCACTTTGACAGCCTAACAGTACAACGTCACTTTGACAACCTAACAGTACAACATCACTTTGACAACCTAACAACACAACATCACTTTGACAACCTAACAGTAACACATCACTTTGACAACCTAACAGTACAACATCACTTTGACAACCTAACAACACAACATCACTTTGACAACCTAACAGTACAACATCACTTTGACAACCTAACAG